AAAAAATGTCTTCCTGCTGAAGCATCACGGGCGATGGTTGCGCCCCCCTTGTCGTTTCATGACAGTGGAGTACAGTGGATCACACTGCTGAATTTCTTTCCTCGATCGTTGTGAATTGTGGACTATCCTGATGAAGATGAACTGAGCGCAAGGGATGAATTCATTGCCCCCTGACAGATATCAGTTTCACCTCTAGCTCTCTCAGCCTTTCGAGAAGTGAACCTTGCCCTGTTTTGTTTGTTTTTGGTTTGTTTTACCTTTTCAAAACGGGGTATACGGCCACGTTGCCTGCCTGTTTTTGCATCAACACCCACATGAATTCGGGCTCTGGGTGCAAGTCTTACTATCTCCCCGCGGAGAAACAAGAAAGAAACATGAATGAAAACATGAAAGGACAGGATGGTGACGTACTGAGTGCCAAGGCTGAATTCATTGCCCCTAGGTTCACACTGTCTCACCGCTTCTTCGGCTGTCTCAGCCATCTTGAGGTACGTACCTTGCCTGCTTTTCTGGTTGGGCTGGTTTTGGGTTTTTGGTTGTTGTTTGGTGCTTCTCGGTTTATTGCTTGGTTCGTATCTCTCTCATTTACCAGCTTAAGGTGACTTGTGCATAAACTGCACACACAGCGCCTCGACTCGTGCAAAAAACCTGCTTTAGTCTTGACCAAACAAGGCTTTCGCTGCAACAAGTTGAAGTACTCCTCAAAGTGAAGGAGTGCGCGGTACTCGAAGTTCTTGTCGAGCTTGGTGAGGATCTTGCTGAAGCCTTCTCAGCCTCTTCAACTGGAAAGTCTTCGAACAACCGCCAACCACACCCTGAAAGCTGCCCAGGATGTTCAATGTCGATTCGGCTGTGCGCTTGTTGATCTTCATCTTGTGGTGGTGGAGCATCAGCCTCTTTCGATGCTCTTTGTAGTCCTGGGGCTGCCCACTAAACAGTGGAACGTAGGAGTCGCGCAGGTTGAGGTAGTCTCCATCCTTGGAGCTCTCTGCTGGCGATGTCGAAGGTGGCATTCTCAATCAAGTGGCCAAGACCGATAGCGCTCTTCCACGAGGAGACAAAAGAGCTCGGCCAAGGGTTCGTGACAAAGGACTTATGCAGAACCTCGTTCTGCTTCGCGCAAAGGACTCCGAGCCCCCCGGAAGAGAGGCTCCGCTACCAATGCGAAAAAGGTAGTAGCGGCACCACAAGTCCGCAAGCAAGTCGACGTCGATGACGCAACGAAGCGTCGCGGCCGCGCCTTTTCTCAAGGCGATTGCCCTCCCAGATTTGAGAGGGAACATCGGTGCAAACAAGGATCGAAACTGTTCGAACTGCCGAGACCTCAAGACATCACAAGTAAGTGCACAGCGTGAACTTTACATCGTCTATATACAGTATCCCATCGCCAGTTCTTGTCAGCTCAGCCAGGAACATTTTCGCAGTCAATTTTACAAACAAATTAGCACTCCGTACTCATTGTTTCATTGTTTGTGTCCCTTTGTACTTGTGTGGACTTGAACACGTGCTTGTTCTGTGACGAATTTGCGAGATTTAGCCATATTCTCAAAGCAGCAATGGTTTTGCGTGTATTTGCTGGGGTCCCCTCTTTGTGTAGAGTTATAGCTTCACGGATACCAACCATGCATAGTCGAGACGAAGATGCGAGCTTTGCTCCGGCTCGGCGTGGTTTTGACAAACATTTTTTCAGACAAATGCCTTTTGTACTTCTCCAAATCAAATGACGGTATTGTCTTCAAATTTGCCCGCCATGTCGCCTTGTAGGTCAGTTTGGTCAGGGTGTAAGACAGCGGTCTCATTGCTCAAAACAGTGCCGTGGCCATGGTTCTTGCAGAGCTTCGGAGGTTTGCTTCTCGCGACCCTTCTGCTGCTGTTCCTGTTGATGGTATTCCCGAAAAGGCAGGATTGCAGCTAAAGCTAGAAATAGTCTGTGGAAGCGGCGTGCATGAGTTAGCGGAAATAGGGCTAGTGAGTTTGTTTGATGTCCAAATTCAAGACGATCATCCAACAAACTGCATTTTTTTACATGTCAGTGTTTGGATATCCTATCAAATAATCTGGCCTTTCTGAGGCTCACCTCAGGACAGCAATCGAAAAGATCGAGAAGGCCCCTTTGCAGCAAGAGTTGTTTCAAAGACCTGCTCCCAACTTGAACATGGTGCAACCTTGAAATCATTTTTGTTTCAGACATGAGCTCTTTATCTTTAAACATACCCAGCATTTGCACATGCAAGGATTCAGTGCGGTACAGGCAAAGCCATCAAAAGCCTTGGTTGAATGAGTCGGGTGAGAGGATATGGTCAAGACACCGGATTTGTCTAGCCAAATTGGTCCAAAGCCAGTCCTTTGAGACCTTTATGGGAATCGTGATCTTTGTAAACATTGTGTTACTTGGCGAGGAGGTCCAGCATCTTTTTGACTGGCAATGACTGGCAACAACTTTTTTGCTTTGTTGTTGAACCTTTTGGACATTGTTGACAAAAAAAGTAATTTTGGTGATGATCTGAACCATTTTGCTTTTAGAGTTTTGCAAGCACTCTTTGCATGGAGTGCCGAAGGCTGATGATCATTGAAACCAATTACGATGCAGAATGCTTTCCGAAGTATGCCAATGACCTTCACAACTGCCCATCTCGCAGTTCAGAGCAGACATGGCTTCAGGTCAGCACCATTGCTTTGCAAACAATCTACACAGTGGAGTGTTGCCTGCGAGCATGTGTAGAGCAGAGACACTACGTGTCTTGGCACCGACTGGCTTAGAATGTGATTTCAGGCGAGCTTTGTTTGTAAACGTTTCACATTATGAAGACATAATATTCCTTTTTCTGTAAGGCGTGAAGGCCTACAACCACACAGTCTTCAACAACTCCAATTTATTGTGATTTTTTTGGTATGTTTATTATCTATCCAGTCCACACTTGTATGTTGCTTGGTGAACAGAACCATACAGGTCACAGGAAATGCTGTGTTTTTGCGTTGGTGTCCACAAAGATATTGCAAACACTTCCGCTCGGTATTTTGTGGGCAGGACTATAATTATGCATAAGTGCTGTCAAAGTAAAAACCTCAAACGTTGGCGATGGCAGAACAGTGTTCAAAGGTCGAGTGCTTCTGGAAGTGAAATCGCTCCGCTTGTCCACCTGAGGTGTGGAACACGTGGAACCAAATCGACCTATGGACAGCCATTTTTGGCTGGATAGGCCTTGGCATGTCTTCAATGAACCTGAACGTTCTCAGGACGAGCGGCTAGCGTTTGTTGTTGCTATAGCTTTTGTTCCTATAGTAGCGTTTTTGTTCCTAGTAGTAAGGCGAGGAGCCCCTAGTAGCGTCCTTGCTCCTAGTAGCGATGCCCTTTGCTACTAGTAGCATTCTTTTAAAGGTCTATGATGAGTCTAGCGAAGCCAAAGAAGTTCTCCATACGCTTTGAACCTTACATGCTGGGAATGGCAGGCACATCCACACACCGACACATACAGCCATACAGCTAAGTTTCCCCAAAAACCTAGAAACCAAATCATTAGCGTGAGCTATCCTACGTCCAGTAGGTAGTAGCTAACCGTTATATATATATATATGTATATAACTAGTGACCAAAATAGCGAACTTAGTAGGGAGGGCCGAGGGGGGGGAGGTCGGGCCAACAAAAAGGATAAGTTTGGAATCAAATTGAGGACGATCCGAGTTCTTCGGCTTCTCAGGGTTGGCCGCTTGGTGATTTCAGTGCCGGAGCTATACATCTTGTTGAGCGGACTTACGACATCATTTAAGCCGATCCTTTTCGGCTCGATCATGCTGGTCTCCGTAATTCTGGTTTGGTCCATCATCGTCGTCGAGTTGATTCATCCCTTGAATTCACAGAGCCTTGGGCTCGAAGTTTTGGTCATACAATCTTGATGAATACATTCGTTGCTTTTTCTTTAAATGTCTGGCCACATAGTGAAATCTGAAACAGAAGCATTCTTTATTTGATAAGCTGCTCATTTGTGTCTGTGCGCCCTTCTTCCAAGCTATTGTTGAGGACTACGTTTGACAACTGTCCGCGATGCAGCAACGGATTTAAAAGCGTGTATTCAGCTGCTCTCACATTGTTCTCGCAGATTGTAGCTGGAGATTCATGGGGTTCAATATCAATTCCACTGGCAGAAGAGCGTTGGTGGGTGGGAGCACTTCTCTTCGTGATCTTGATGACGATCTCTTTGGGTGTCATGAATTTGATTCTCGCGGTCATTGCCGCCCGGTTGCAACCTTCTGGACACTTTGACCTGTTGTGAGCACCGGCAGCCCTAAGGTTGAAAAGGCTGCAGAAGCTCGGGAAAATGACCAAGAACGAAAGACCAAGCTTCAGGATGAAGAACGACAAAAGGAGATGCTGGCTTCCGGGTTGTTTGGCCAAGCGTTGTAGGAAAAGCAAAAATGGTAGCAGGCTAGGCTCAGACACTGTCACTGTCTCATGAGGACATGATCGAACTTGCGATTCTATGCGATCGAATGGATAATGATGGCAGTGGCGCTCTATCCTTAACCGAGCTGCTGGATGGTTATGATTATGATGCCCGCTTCCACTCGCTCATGAAACGTATGGACATAGAGAGAGACGACATGCGGACAATCTTCCGAGCTCTAGATGCGGATGCATCTGGAGAGGTGGACTATGTGGAGTTCTGCCACCAGTTGGGCACATGCAAGAAACGAGATCAACTAATGCTATCCACCTTGACCAGATATGCTGTGATGGAAGTCAGAGCCTTGATTGAAGGTGAAGTCATGAAGGCCAGGTGCTGTGTTGTAAACACAGATATCAAAGAGCAATCAGTGTCAAATAGCCAGCAGTTCGTCATTCAAGTAGATTCGTTTTTGTTTTCTATAAATAGAATAACTATTACTGTAGGGTACCTATTTGCCTACTTACTCATATAATATATAAATATATTAGTATCACTTTTTCAACACTTTTCACACTTCTTCCAGACATGCTATTGTTTTTTTTGCCTTTCTCTACTGTTTCTTTGCCTTTGTTTGTTTTTTGCTTTTCTAGTTTGTTTGCTCGCTCTGCCTGTTGGATCACTACTAGCAAGTCAAGCAAGATAGGAGTATCGGTTGATTGGCTTTATCCAGCTTCTACAAAACTAAGCCAAGCAAAATAAAGCGCAAGCAAGCAATCCAGCAGGCAAACCAAACGCACGCAAGCAAGCCAACAAGCAAGCTCATCATGAGCAGACTAAGTCCAGTAGGAAGGAAGCAAGCACAAGAAAGCATTAGTGCAGCAAGGAAGAACAAAGGAGGCTGCAGACTTTGGGTTCTCCGGGCGAAAACAACACAAGCAAACGTCAGACGAGTCAAAAGCGCAAAGCCTGCGTGTGTTTCTGATAAAGCGCTTTTGCTTTGATGCATTGAACAAGTGCTCAGACAAACCTATTTTTTTAAAAAATCCGCGCGAAGAAGTCGAATATGAACAGAGTAATGCCAGATTTGGACAAGGTGTTTTTTCATCCCCCCAGTCAAGGTGTGGTTTCATGCTTTTTGCATATCGCATTTCATGCTGCAAAAACCTTCAAAACTACTGCTGGCACCAGTGAAAATGGACGTGGTGCTTTTTACAGTGTAAATCACAGTACATTTGCATGGCCAAAAGAAAAACTGTGTCTGATAGTCAGCCCTTCTTTTTGTTTGATCGTCATTCCTTTCGGTCTTAAGTTTGCCACAGTGCTTTCTAGAAATCATCGCGTGGCTCCACGCATGCTTCGCATGCCTGCGCGAAAAATCGCGAGAGCTCTCAAGACCCGTTTCAAACCCAGGTCCCTTGTTAAGGTAGTGAGCAGCAAGGAGGTTCCTGTGATCGATGGTATCTTTGGAATCATTGAACAAAAGGTTGCACCGTCGGAGCTCTCGCTTTCCAACATTTGCAAGCGACTCTGCCATCTGGTCTCCGCCTGCCAACATAAAAAGATCCTTCTTTCCTTGGCCACACCGTCTGCAACCAATCTACGCAACAAGTCCCTGGTCGAAATGTCCAAACCCTTTTTGGGGATTGTGGAGAGGAAACTCCAACGGAAGTTCAAGTGACTCACACCTTTCAGGGACGGCACTGCAGTTCCTGCAGCAGAATGGAATGCTCTGCTTCCATCACATGCTGCTATGTGCATCCCCTTTTTCAACTTAGAAGTAACGTGCACAGTCTCGAGAAACGTTTCTGGGCCTGATGCGGAACCCTTGGCAGCAACCTTGGGCGGCAATGGAACTACAGCATATTTCTTACTCTGTATCAACCCGGAAGCAGAGTGAAGTCGAAAAGCCAGATGGCGACCCTTGTGAATAGTCTTCTTGACTGACGCCGGTCTCTTTACCGGTTGACCTTTCTTCAGCCGAACATGTAGCTTGTCAGCAGCACTCTTCTCTGCTTTCTTGCGGACTTCATGGGCTTCTTTCCTCGGATTCCGAACCGTACATGGCTATAGATGAAACTCTTACATATATCCTGAAACTTTGGTATTGCTCGTATCTCGATATTAAATTTTCATGTATATCCTGAAACGAAAACTAGGTGCACTTCTTTTTTTGAAGGTTGTCTCCGAAATGAAGTAGCTGAGGTGCCGAATTCCAAGACCCCGGAATCAACTGGAAATCTGCACTGTCAACGTATTCCACAGTTGCCAACGCCAAGCGAATGTCCCTGGCCCAGGCTCCAGCACGGTCCCTGTGCACGTTTGACAAGAAATGAGGCATGGCATCTATGGCTGTCTTAGTTCCGACCAGCCAACAACATCGCAAGAAGTTCTGGTAGTCCGGCTCGACATTCCTGACATAACAGAACAGCTCCCGATTCGAAATCACGAGTTGAAAAAAGATGCAGGGGAGCTGCTTTTCGAATCTAAAAACACAGAAAGCACAACGAGTAGCTGTCTTGCTTGAGAGTGCAAAGGCGTCCATGCTTCTCGAGGGCACTGCAGCAACGGATGTAAGTAGCAGGCCGGCGTCTCACACTTGAGTGGAGCATTTTCCAACCTAGATGTTCTACTCATAGGTTCCAGACAGCCCCAGCACCTGGGCAGTTCATCGCTAAGAACACCGTGGTCTTGCAAGAACTTTCGACACTGCAAGTTGGACCATGAAGCCAGCTCGGGAAAATTCAATTGCTTCAAGCCCCTCAAACCACCACCTGCTCCGTTGTCTTCGGGCGAAGCAGCGTAAGAAAGGCCTACATCATGGAATTCCGTATTCGCCTCAAAAGAAGCTTTCTTGGAAGGGGTTTTTGACGAAGAGGAAGGTAATGCCGGAGACTTCTTTTTCGTAGACATGGCTGCAGCGGCACTTGAAGCCAAAGTAACTGCACTCGCTGTTTACTGGCAAGTGATTCTCTTTGCACATGCCAAAAAATCACAGGAGGGAGACCGCCAGAGATTATATATCAACCACCAGAGATTATATGTCCGAACTTTATTCATATACCGTAGGAATATAAATATACATATATATATATATACATATGACCAGAGGAGAGAAGCCAAAAACCGCAGTTCCTTCTGAATTCGACTGACGTTGGAATTCGACTGACCCTTAAAACAGCGTTGCGCTCCCTTCGCGCCCTGCGTCTTCTAGACAGCGATGCAAAAGCAGGCTCATTTCAAGGTTCAAATCTGAGTGCTGTTTGCTTCAGAGGCCTGGACTTACATTTGTGAGGATTCAAATAACGGCCTGGCGGACTTGCCCATGCTCCTTTACGCTCCACAACGACTGTCCCAGCTAAAGTCATTTGCTTCTTTTTGGGAGGAGCAGTTTGGTAAAAGTGATGCCTTCGGCCATCATTCCCTGAAGCGCTTGACGAAGGTGCATTCGTTTGCTCCCAATTAGAAAGGTGAGGCTTCGAAGATCCAGGAGCAATTGAGGTGCTCTCCTGCATTGATTCCTCAATGAGATCGTCTTCATCTAAAAGCACTTGTCTCTTCGGGGAGAGACTTTTGGAGTGGATGTATCGACCACATGAACTGAGTCCCGATCATATGCTTCGCAGATGCGCTTCTGATGCGCCGCCCAACCTGTGCAAGTCGCCCTAATGACCTAATGCTTCCCATTCTCTAAAAACCCACCATGTCTATACCCTTTAAACACGTACGTAAAAAGACAAAGCATGCTGCAGATATCAAAGTACTGTAGCCAACGCACGAACATCCGCATCGGCAGCAAGGACCTGCGGGGAACGTGAAGCATAATATGCAACAACAATGTGTCTCTAGTCTGAAAGCGAACAAATCTTTGATGCCCACCTGCATGTGTTCATCCAAATTAAACGGATCCCAGGACCACACTTGCGCCACTTTCTGCTGCACTGCGAAGGCCACATTCATGTCCGGGAACCGGCAGCCTTGTAAGCGCAGCAGCAAAACAAGTCCGAGGAACTCCAGGGTCGGATTCTCCCGCATGCGCACCATCGCCCACTGATGCATCGGACTTTACACAATGCCAATCATCAGAATGAATCTTTACGGACTATTCATTACATATCTTTGGTGCTATAGTGGAAAGTTAATGTTCGACAACTTCAACATTCCTTTATAATCCTCTGTCAACTCTAGGAGAAGCAAAGTTTATCCTCTTAACATGGCTGCGACTCTCTGTCTCGTTTCCACGTACGTTCGACTCTGAATACGTCCTGTACATATATTTCAGAGGCCTAACCCAAAAAACAATGGACCTGAGTGTTGAACATGACCGAAACTGAATTGACCTGAGTGCCCAGGCGGAACCTACTTTCCACTTTATATGGATATATATATATATATGTATATTATATATGTATATATCTATTCTTACCAGTAAGCCAAATATGGTGACGTCGATGACAATGTTGTGATCACTGTTGTGACGCCCCGTCCCCCACCACCCCCCCCCACCCCATTTTAATCACACGACTGATCGATGACAATGTTGTGGTCATGACAATGCTGTGATCGATGACAATGTTGTGATGCTGAAGTCCCCGATGTCCCCGATGATGCTGAAATCCCCAGAGAACCCCCCGTCCAGAACCACAAAGGAGTAACGCAAGGAGGCGCAAGGAGGCGCAAGGAGCGGATTTTTTTGCTTGCTTCCACATAACATAAAGCGATTCTGGGCTGGGTTGTAGCCTCGCTGTACTGTTCCACAGCCTCTTTGATAAAAAAGGCCGCGCGGGCTTGCAGCTGTGTGCATAAACACGGGCAAACTACTTAGAAAGGAAGCAAGCAAGAAGCAAGGAAGCATGAGTGAAGCAAGGAAGGACACAGAAATAGAGCGAGGAGGCAAGGAAGCAAGGAAGCAAACAAGGAATGAAAGAAGCAAGCACCCGCGCAAGCAAGCAAACAAGCAAAACCGAGTTCTGTGCAAGCAACCAAGCAAGCAAGCAAGCCAAAAGCACGCAAGCAAGAAGCGTTGTAATTTGAAGACTGGCTACCCAAAGTACACGTTGACAATCGGATGCCCAAAGTGATTGAAATACAAGAGAGGGGTGCGCATCGAGCACCCAAACCTGTAGATAGCAGTGGAAGCGAATGATATTATATCCACAGTGCTGTAAACACCAGCGAACGATTCACACGCACCACCCACATGCTATAAATAGGGCGGACATTGGCGAAAAAAGGTCCAACGTGCTGCGAGTACCACAGTAGCAACAATTTAGCCCAAGCAAATTTGACAACAAATTCTGACTTGCAATTGCTTTCTTTGCTCCAGCATATTTTGTGTTTTCTGTGATTTATTCACTCAGTCCTTGTATCTTTTTTCTAGGGAGTCTTTCCACAGCTTGATGGCGTGCAGGCAATTGAAGAGCAGACGGGACTTCTCCGGGATCAGCTTGATTTGCTTTCCCATGTGCCCGGCTGTACAGAAGCCGCCAAGGAAGCTATTTTAAATTTGATTGCAATCCACGAGTATCTATTGTAAAGATTTGTCGTATATACACATATATATATATATATACAGTAATTTACGAGAGAAGCTTGAGCTACCTGAGTTTAACTCCTTGCTTTAACAAAAATGTATTTTAATGGAAATCCCGTGGTTTCTTCATCATTGTGGAACCCCCGAAAACCTCCGCTGGTGTGCAGTGCAGTGGGTCTCCTTGAGAGACATCTTTTGATACAACTTGCCGAACAAGTCGTGTGGCGTGTGAGAGGTAGTCGATTCGATCCACGTCCATCAAAAGCAATCCCAATATACTACTCGCGTTTCCTTTGCTACAACTACACTACTCGCGTTCCTTTGCTCCGGCTTCGCTTGCTCCTGCTCTTTCTTTGTGGGCATCCTATCTGTGTTCTCTATCAAACATCAACTAACTAAGATGACTTTCACCGCAAACACTACAACCAGGACATCCAAAAACGTTCCTTGTCACGACCTTGTGATCGAGTGCTCTCTGACCGCCACTTGGTTTGCTTTGGCTTCAGGTTTGTCCAACTATTTTGGCCTAATTTTATCGGTAGGACTTGAAAACGTCCCTGTCGGCTTAGGTTCAGGAAAGAAACACAAGTACAATACAGCATCGTTTGAACACATTGTGAGAGATGACGCGACCCACCTTTTGATTCGGCAATCCGTGCGGCGAGCAGCTCCAACACGCGAAGATGAGATTCATCTCCAACAACAGGCTTCAGTCGACCAAATTGGCGAGTCTATCTCTATCGCCAGCAACCTAATTGAATTTAGGACACAGTGCCCCAGAGTTACAAGTTTGAGACGTTGGCTGCTCATACCCAACCATTTTGGTCGCACTTTGTAAAACTCTTGGTTGATTCCTTCTTGAAGACATTCAAGGCAAAACCGTTCAGGGCATGCAGAACCAGCTTGAAGCACTCGTTTGGAAAGCGGAGCAGCTTCAGACTGATATTCAGCGAAAAGCAAGTAGCACGCAGACCAGACCTATCACCCGTATGGACTGGCGCCGGAGAAGTGGATCAATTGAGTCCTTTGCATCACTGACATCAAGGTCATCAAAGGCATCAGTGGCTGAAGGTGATGGATATGACTGGTCCGACTTTGACAGGCGATTTGGTGACTTGCTGAGAAAGTTCAATCACCGAGCTCAGAGAGAAGCAGATTTACAGATAAAACTCAAAGATATTATGGACAGTATTTCCTTTATGCTCAAAGAACCAGCTGTGGTCCAAGAAGAGCTGTAGAGTGGTCTCCGCCTGTCTGACCGTTCTCGTGTTTGCAAGTCCATCAATTTGGGCATAGGTGAGGTTTTTGCTTAGCACACACACACACACACGGTCACTTCCTGTTGAAAACAGAGTGGTGACTGATCTATGCAGCATAGTTGTGAGGTGGAAAACAGAGGCTTGATAGTTTTTGATGTTGCTTCTCATAGAGAGGCGCTTGTGGGTGCTTTGATCCGATCGGATGCAGCTCAATCAATGAAGCTATTCAAGACTTTAGAGCGTGTAGCAACAATTTTTGAACAAAAAAAAACAGACACCCCGAAACATGGATTTTTGGCCTTCTCGGATTGAAACCTGATATGTTTGTCTCCGAATCCTTGCACTGATTGACTGTCCACTGAAGCATCCTGCCACTTTTGGACTGGCCCATTCCAACAGTTTCTGTTGCCCTTCTCCCTCCCTCCCTCCCTCCCTCCCTCTATCTCTTTTCCTTGTGCTTTGTCTTTCATTCATTCTTTCTTTCTGTACTGGCGCGGGCCGGTTTCCAATCCGCGCTAACCGTGACAAACAAACATCCTGCTCCGCTGCTGAGGTATTGGCCTATTGGTGTCACACGAGTCGGAGTGGGCCAACATATTGGCCCAGGCTCATTTCCGAGAACCTTCAAAAACCAGGTACAGTATGTCTGCATGCTGCTCTCTTTAAGGCGGTTCCTTTTTTGGATTATGCAATTTCACAAAGTCTCTGACAAAGGAAGGACTCTAACTGCCTGAAATCGCGGCTTGCACTTCCGGGAACTGGAGAATTGACCCTGGCCAGCCTCTTCTTCAAGTGTGAGGCATCCTTGTCCACGCGCTTCACAAGGCCGCAATATACAAGATTATGCGCAGAATCTCGCGTCAGCAAGACATGACTCACGTGGCTCTGGAAGTTTGGATTCATTTCCTGCTTCGATCTGTGCATAGGCAGCGCAGGCCTTCACTTTTCGGACACCATGCTTGCAGCAAAACCCTCCTTGAACCACCTGGCAGGGTGCCAGCAATGAGCTTCCGGCATCTCAGGTCAGGAAGTAAACTGTTCAAGACATTCAATCTGACTCATCTTCTCCCCAAAAGGTGTGCTGGAGGAATGCTGCAAAGTAGGGGTTCAACCCTCATGCATGAAGAGTGACTGACCCCTCACCAAAAGGGCAACTTTCTCAACTGCAGTAGCATGGAGACTCTTCAGACCTCCCCATGTTGCCTCTGCAACTGCCACATTTGCTGTAGCAGTTCTGGGTGTTCACCGCTATATTGCTGCTGCTGCTGCTGCTGCTGCACAAGAGCATGTTCTTCATCTCCTTTGCGGACGTTACCCCACCTTCCTTTATTTCTCTCTTTCTCTTTCTCCCTTTCTCTCTTTCTCTCTTTCTCTGTCTTTCTTTCTTCCTCCCTCGGTGCTCAGGCCTGAGCACTTTTCCATTCCGGTCTTCCTTGTGGCCTTCTAGGTGTGAACATGCCAGGTCGACTGTGATGGACTTTTCTAATTAGCATAATTAGCTTTGAAACGTGACACATGCAGTCCTAGGAAGGTTTCTTGAGCATTCATGTTAACTTTGAGCAGAGCTTTCAATCTGTACTATCCGCCGCTTTTCATGCCTCGAATCGGGTCTTGGTGAGTCTTGCTGCTCAGCTTCCCGTCCTCAGCTTCACGATAAACGTGATGTTGCAGAGTGTGCAAGACGGTGCGCAGAGGGCGATGGAGTGGTGCTCCGAGAAAGTCAGACGTGGAAGTGCAAAGCGCGGATCTGAGCATTCAGTGCAATCAGCTGATGATGAGGGTTCAAAAAGAGGCTCCCCAAGCACGAATGACAAGGACTGCATGGGGCTAGGAATTGCTGTGAATTTGGTGGCCAACCGGTCTCATGTTCAAAACTGGCGCAGGAACACTTAAAGCGTGCGTTGGCAAAGATTGAGAAGGACGGGGATGGTGGATGGTGAGAGACAATTGTATTTACAAAGACATCAAGTAAGAAGGACATTTCGGAGGTGCAGACAAATGTGTATAAAGCAAGGAGGGCAGAGGGGAACAATCAACATAAACCTTCACGGGTCGCAATGTTCACTCAGGTAGGGTGCCTGCAGGCCTTACAAGTGCCAAGTGTCAGAGGTTTAGGATCCTCAGAGTGGTTGTCAGGATTCTGTGACTCTCCTGGCAGCCATGGCCTGCTTATTTAGACTCACATTCTTCTGGCTCAATGTGTCAGCCTGCTGTTTTAGGCAAGGCTGTCACTGCCGCTGTATGGAGATGTTTTTCACCTGCTCTAACATTTGCAAAGTGCGCTTGGGCCAAATCCATCGGAAGGTAGAAAGAAAGGTGTAGTTTGTGCCTTCGAGATGCCGCCTGAGCACGGCTTGAGAGTCTGAGCATCGTGTTAGCTGACTTTCGATAGCCTCTAGTATGCTTTGTTGCGGTTGACTTTGAGCAAGCTTGGGTTGTGGTTCTGCTTAGCGTCTATTTTGGGTCATCGCAAGGAACAGGGCGATAATCCGATAATCTGTAGCTATTTTAGTACGCTGATTCATTTCTCACATATTATTTCATGTGGATTTATTTTCCAACTAGGAGTTTGGATGTTCCTTGTTTGCTGCAGGCAGGCTCGCAAACATACCAGTATTTTTGCCCGAAGAACTTATTGCGACACAAGTTGACAGGTGATTTGAATTCAGCTTGGGATCAATGTAAACATAGTATATGCAGCTGTCCTCCACAGTGCTTGTGACGTGGACTGTATCGAGGCCTTGTGGGAGACAGTACCATGCAGATTCCACTGCAAGGCCTTCTCAGGCCATCAGAGAGTCTGCAGCTGCTTTTTGGCATGCTTGCCAGCGTCCGGATGAGATTCGCAGGAAGACGTCCTCTATCTGCGGAATGTTTCTTTTCTGGTTCTGACAATGGAGTGCTCTTTCTTGACTCTCACAATTGAAGCTTCCAGCTCTTTCATCCCAATTCATCCCAAGCTTCCAGTTTTGCCGAGAGAAGGCGAGAGCTTTTCACATAGTAGGACCAAGGTGTTCGCATGCATCAATCACCATTGATTGGCTTCGCATTCCGTCGCCTGACATAATCCTGACGCTTTGGCCTTTGCAACATTGCGTGCTCCCTGGTGCAGTTTGCTCACTTCTGTTTCACATCACCAGTTTTGCTTTCCTTTTGTGGAGGAGGGTTGCTTTGGAGTAGATTTGGTGCTCTTCATTTTTAAAATCCATCTGCAGGACTCCATGCGGTACAAGAATGTTCACCAGAAGCCATGGTTGGACAGAAAGGGTCGCAGAATTTGGTCAGATGCAAGAATCGCGGTGGCAAAACTGGTGATGAGCCAGTCCTTTGAGACATTTATGGGCCTAGTCATCGTTGCAAACATTGCGTTGCTTGGTCATACACATTTTTTTGTTGCAGATTGCATGTGCTGCAACGACTGAGTGACACAATGGCATTTGTTGGGTAAGTTTGCATTTGCACTGGAACAGCAGTCGCCGCAACTGTGTGAGGCTAATGATGATCGAGACCGATGCTGATGCAAAATGCTATCCTGATTTCAAAGACAAACCTTCAGAATGCGCAGACGCAAGCAGCAATATAATATGGTTGCAAGTTTGCAACATATCGCTGCTAGTTATTTACACATTGGAGTGTTGCTTGCGAGCTTTTGTTGAACGTGAGGCTTACGTGCCCTGGTGAAAGAGCCAGCTGGGTCAACAGTGCATATATGGCCTAGTGTACTGTAGTCTCCAGAGTACAAGCTCAGAAGCTGTTTTGGTCCTACACTTTTGTTTTTGTTTTTTAAATGTTCTAAACTCTCTACAGACTCGAATTGTTCTTGTCTTTGTCCATTTTGTGGAAGTTGCTTTGCTCCTGTGTTTGCCTTGGTGATTCTCCGGTGCTGATGTGCGTGGTTGGGCTGACTGGATATTGGCTACTCTGCCTGCTTTTGTGATATTGTTGCGCATGTCCTCCATCGTGTTGAGATATATAGATGTCGTATCTACATCGCCTGCACTACAGCACTCCGTTCTCATTTCAGCCAGTGAAACATGTGCAGGATCTTGGCTTGTTCAATTGGAACCCATTCCTACTTTTGGAAGTGTTGGTTCATCAATATGTGTATATATATATACATATTGAGTATGTTGAATGTGTGCCGTTCTCCGCTGCAGTCCTTTCAATCACTGTAGCATTCCAGCAAGATTATAGGCTGCTGTGTGAACTCATCTAGGATTTTGCTGACAGGTCGTATTTTTTACATTTCATTCGGGAAAGCTTGGGCCTTCTGCCGGGTCCCACCATGGACAGAAAGCGATTCCCCAGCCATTCCCATAAAGCCGCTTTCCCTACTTTCACCTTTATGCGCACAGCAGTCATCAGCAGGAAATGATGGAGTTAAGTTTGTATGGGCAACGGTGTTTACTGGATGTGCCACACAGCACAAACTCGTGCCAGTGGCACCAGCCTTGGCATAGAAACATCTTTCTTTTTGCAATCCCATCCAGTTTCTGGTAGCTTTGACTTACTGTAGATTAATTCCCGAGTGATGACGGAAAGCGCTTTGAGCGCTTGAAAGTATTTCCCGAAGGTATGGGTGGGGTGGGGGGGCCACCGATGACGGAAAGCGATGAATATCGCTTTGAGTTGCTCCCCGGTAGGTTTTGCTGGGGGGGGGGGGTGGGGGGGGGGGGAAGTTTGGGGTTTTGGATTTCAGGACTTTTGGGGTGTCTTGAGGCAGGCTCGAAGGTGCAAAAAACACTGTAATTTACAGTAAAAAGTGGCTTTGGGTGGGTTTGTGTTGAGCTTATTTGCCCTCAAAAAGTTGCATTTTACCTGCACGGGAGGCAATTTTTGATGTTTTTATTGTTTTCTGGCATTCAAAGGCTTTGAAGGGCAATGTGCATAAAACACTGTAAAACACAGTGAAAAATAAGACTTTTTGGGATCATAAAAAAGTCGGCGGCGTTCCACAGCACCACTTGCATCACTACGAGGTGCATGGGAGGCACAAAGATTACAGAAGAGACGGAAACAAAGCAAATCAACTTAAGATGAGAACTTTTTTGTCACCAAGGCCCACAAGAAGACAGAAAGAGCACAGACGAGACAAAAACAAAGCAAGTCAACTTAAAGCAAATCAACTTA